TTTAATCATACAATCTTTAACTAGCTCAGTTTCTGAATCCAATTCTAATAAAACATTATATATCCTTCTAATATGTCCTTTAGCATCATCCCTTACTTGTTTCAAAAAATTCCCATTTTCCATAAAAGAAGCAGTTTTTTTATCAATTCGCCATCTCTCTTGAATTTGTCTATACACAAGCCAAGAAAAGTCTGGATACAGGTTTTAATAGCTTTAGGATTTAAAAAAACTAGATAATATTTCATTATATTTAAATAGCAATAGCACTTAGACTTATATACCACTTCATAGTGCTTTACAGCACTCTCAAAACAGTTTAGAGTCCGCATGTTGCCCTGCCAACAATCTGGGTCCTCATTTTACCAACCTCAGAAGGCTGGAAGGCTGAGTCAACCCTGATCTGGTCAGGATCGAACCCCTGGCAGTGGAATGCAGAGCTAGCCTGCAATACTGCATTCTAACCACTGTGCCACCACAGCTCAAAGTTTATTCATGCTTTGGATTCTGCTATCAATGAAAAATAGGTTACAAATTTTGTGAATAAACATATACTTAAATTAATAAGAAAAAATAAAAATGAATGAAATTATGGTTATTACTATTGCGATTTCATATATTTTAAGATATTCACAAATTTACTTTATTCATTTCCTACATATTATTTCAAGCTTTCAAAGAAGTATATTGAGAGTGATCTAATGTTTACTTTTTAGTGAGCTTTTCTTCTTCCTTTTTACATAGCCCTGTAGTTCTGCAAAAAAAAAAAAATTAAATAAATATTTTATTAAGTTTTTATAGTTACAAATCTTTAGTGCTTAATAAACAAAGTGTTTAACATTAATAGTAATACAATTTCCATTTGTATCTCTACTCCATTTTTCCAGCCATTTATAGAAATTATCCCATGTTTGCAAATATTCTGTATCTTCTTCCCCTTTCATTTTCAACGTAAGTCTATCCATTTCTGCACAATCCAAAATTTTCCTAATTATGTCTTCTTCCGATTTTCTTTTCGTTTTTCCAATATTGTGCAAATGCAATTCTCGCTGCTGTTAATACATGTAATATTAAATATATACCTTTTTGTCATAGTTCTCTATAATTATACCTAGAAGAAATAATTCTGGCTTAAAATTTACATGTTTTTTTAATATTTTCTGTAACCACATGTGTATTTTTGACCATTTTTTTTTTTTGCTTTAGGGCATGTCCACCAAATAGTACATGCCTGGCTTTTGCCTACATTTCTAACAATTACTAGACATGTTTTTAAACATTTTTGCTAATCTTGCAGGTGGTAGATACCATCTATAAAACATTTTATATTTATTTTCTTTTATAATTAGCTGCCCTTGTTATTTTATACTTTCTTTCCCACAAGTTTTGCCATTTTTCTAATTCTACATTGTGTCCAATTTTTTTTGCCCAAGTTATCATTGTTTCTTTAACTCGTTCATCTTCCATCTTCAGGTTTAACCCAAAATTTATAGAGTTTCTTAATCAGTTTTTCATCTGATGACAATAGTATCTGGCCAAACACTGTTTGATCTTTATAAAAACCATATGTTTTAGCATCTTTTTCATATCTCATTTGCATTTGCAAGTGTGGCCATCATGATAGCTCAATACTCTGTTCTTCCAGTTCTTGTTTAGTTTGTAATTTCCCATCAGTATTCAAAATGTCTTTGTATGTCACAAGTTTTTCATAGTTGATTAAATTTGGGTGCACAAACGCTTCCATTGTCGAGATCCATCCTGATATTTTCATATAAATTTTCATTTTTATATTTTCCCATGTCAAAAGCAAGGCATTTCTTATATAATGATTTTGAAAGTATTTATGGATTTTATTCTTCCCATTCAAGTTGTAAGTCATGTCCTTCTAGTTTTAGTAGTCTTTTGTGTCTAAGGGTTATCCACTCTTTTAGCCATGTTAATGCCGCTGCTTGATAGTATAGAACCCAGTCTGGTAGCCCAAATCCTCCATTTTCTTTTGCTTCTTGTAGCAATTTCAGTCTTTTTCTGGCTTTTTTCCCTTGCCAGATGAATTTCAAAATCAATGCATTTAACTCATCAAAAAAAAATTTCTCTAATTTTATAGGTATTGTTTGGAATAGGAAAAGTAGTTTTGGTAAAATATTCATTTTCACTGTCACTATTCTTCCCAAGATTGATAATTGTAAATTTTTCCATCTTTCCAAATCTGATTTTATTTGTTTTAATAGTTTAGCATAATTATCTTCTTTTAATGTCGCACACCTTGCTGTTAAGTATATCCCCAGGTATTTAACTTTCTTAACTATCTGGAGATCTGTTTTTTCTGACAATTGATTTTTTTTGTCTATCTGTAAGATTTTTAACTATCACTTTAGTCTTATCTCTATTTATTTTCAATCCTGCTACTTCTCCAAATTCTTCAATCTTTGTCAATAATTTAGGGCTTGTCTCCAAGGTATCTTCTAAAATAAATACCAAATCGTCCACAAATGCTTGTAATTTATATTTTTCATCTTTTATCTCCATACCTTTAATTTCTGGATCCTGTCTAACATTTCTATTCAGCACTTCTAGAGTTAAAATAAATAATAATGGAGATAGTGGACACCCTTGTCTTGTGCCTTTTTTAATATTAAAATTCTCTGTAAAATCTCCATTTACAGTTACTTTGGCCATTTGTCTATAGTAAATTGTTTTAATTATATTTATAGTTTTCTCCAAAGTCCATAGAGCTTAATTGTTGTACCATAAATTGCTAAGTTGACATTATCAAAAGCTTTCTGTGCATCTAAAAAAATTAATGCCATTTGTTTCCCTGGATGCATTTCGTAATATTCCAAAGTGTCTAAGATCATTCTTAGATTGTTCTTTATTTGTCTCTTTGGTAAAAATCCATTTTGATCTGGATGTATAAATTCAATCAAAAATCTCTTTAGTCTTTCTGCTTATAGTTCTGCAAACCTTGAAGTTCCCTCAAATCTGTCATTAACTCTTAGGAATTGCATTATTTTGATTGACTAAACAAAGGGACTTACCTTCTGAATATTGAAATTGGTAAGCAATAACTATTAAAATTTTATATAAACAGGTGTCTTGAATTCAACTGGTCATTTCTCAATTATGTGTGCATTATTCAGGGAGTAAATCCTAATGAAGAAGCTTAACCTTCTTCAGAGAAAGTATCCTTAGGATTGTATTATAAAGTGAATTACTGTTGTATTCTACAGTGCAGCCTAATTGTAATTGCACTAGAACAAGAATCTGTACCACAATTTTACAATGGACTTCTTTGGAAAATGGCTTGCAGATTACTGTGATCAATTACTGGAGGCACACTGAATGTACAAAATGATAGCATTACACATGCAGGTTTTTAAAACAAAAAATATTCAGATATCAACAATTAGGAATTCAAGGTAGCCGACATGGTGACTTCCCTTTATTTGATTTCAAAAATGACAATCCTGCAAGGTATGCTATGCAGGGAGAGGATGACTGGCTCAAAGTCACCCAGTAACTTTACATGGCTAAGATTAGAATGCAACCTGGGTCTCACCAATCCATGCCCAATACTAGCTCTTAGATCATACTAGCTCTTAGGTGTCCCATACATATTCCACTTATAAGTGAAAATAGGCTATAAAACATCCTTCCTATGCTCTTGTAACATTCTGATTGAATTGAGGCCAGATTAAGTCACACTTAAATCAGGCCTACTGAACTAAATGAAATTTAGGTCAATGGGCTAATTTAAGTCCAGCTGAGTTCAATGAGTTCCATCTAAGCATGGCCAAGAGACTGCCTTTGAATTGTGCTATTAGCTATTTTAAATCCTTAGCTCTTTTAAAATGCTATGCTATTTTGTCAA